CCTCGTAACCAATGCACGAGCGCGGAGTCAGAGCCCTGTATAGCGTTAATTACTGATTTTGCATGTGCACACCCATTGCCTCGGCAGCTCATTACTTGAAGAGGCTTGTCAACTTGACGGAAAGCACGAGGGGATTGCATACCCAGACACACTTGATCTTCGGACCGCGCAGGGGGGAGGGTTATTAGAGTGGAGTCCTACCGACAGGGGAACCTTGGTGGTTGTCCAGGTAGATTGAGACGGTTTACATTATAGTTGAGACAAGTATATGACAGACTGGATTGCTCAGCAATCGACAATTTCGTTTCTGCAGGCTCTAAAGCCGACAGATGCTTGTATAAGCGCACTAGTCGGCATCACCCTACCCTGGGACACCTGGCGGGTCCGATCATCAGTGGATTGCCTGAGTGGGTTTATAGTACGGATAAAACAGGAAGATGGCGTACGAGTGTATCCTTACTTCGCAGTGCGGCTTTTCTAACAAAGCGAAAATATGCACCCTAGCGCTAGCTGCATATTAATGTCAGATGAACTATGGTATGATTAAAGATGCTATAGTAAATGAAAGCTGTCGAAAAACGCAGATGTGTCGGGCTAAACGCAAATACGAAGAGTATTGGGGAGTTTATGACTGGGCAATATTGTCAACAAAGACAAGGGAGAGCGGAACAATTATTTTTGGCTTATTTCTTTCCAGAAGTGTTTCGGCAGATTCCAAATAATTCACTTTGACCCGACTGTGAAAAGCTCGGTGTCTCGGTGGGATCCGAACTCAGGCAGTAAGGGGAAGGCTTTAGCACATCCAACGCTCTTACATCTGAGCCACGAGGCCTAACCGGACGACGTGAGTTTGATCACATTTGGGTCAAGTTTACCCACCCAACCTACTGTAACGTCTGGATTCCAGATAGTAAGAGCGCTGGCCGTACTAAATCCTCCCCTTGTTGACGTGGGTTCGAATGTCACCGAGACACCGACTTTTTCACAGTTGAGTCAAAGTGAATTATTTACCTTCAGCATTTAGCCATGCCACGACCAAAGCCAACAGTCTGGACAGTAGTGGTTACTGCCTTGTCGACGATGTGGTGTTCGGACTGGTCTACCGGGTCACTAAGATTATATGACGACCTTCCATTTTTTTATCATGAATCAACTCCAATTAGGGAGAAGAAGGAAGCGAGTGTTTAGTCATAGCATAGGTTTTGGTTACGGATTACTGTCTGCGCTCTGTACATATCCAGTGTTATGTCTAAACTTTCCCTTCCACCATCAATCCTGCGTTCGGGCAACTTCAACTTTACTGGACAGACCTGGATAGTACGGGGAAACAAAAATGGTGCATTGCTTGCTGCCAAATCTAATTTTTGTGCTCATCTAAACGGTCTAGTGGCCGCCTATTTCATTCATTTATTCGGCCTTTACGATTCAATACGGGACAAAAAACTATTTTTTTACTCAGTTCTTACAGTACGTCTTGAGTAATGGATTTAAACCCACGAAGTTTGGCGATGCCGATCCCTCATAATAAGCACAGCCAGTATTCTTTCCTTTCCGGGTTTATGACATAACCACGGACAAATCTGGGGAATGAAAACATAGTTTCCAAGTAGTAGCCTGGTCTTCCTTCAACAAGATAACTAGAGGTCAAGGCATAGGGCTGATGGCACTCGTTTTTAGTGGTTATTAGCGTAAGAATCGGCAAATCCTTGTAGGAGTGAACAGCAGACTATTTGAGGCTCCTGTTGTTCGTACTCCATCATGCAGTTCTCAAGGAAAAAAACGTTCCAAAACCATCTCGGCTGGGCGGATAAAACTGTGATGACACCAATGCATGCGAGTCGCGTGACGCTGGCGCGTTCTGACCTGATGCTTTTCTTTGGAGTCCGGATCTATAGTCCTTGCAAGCAGTGATCAATAAATTAGTTTGCCTCTATTTTCCGGCGAGTCTCTCACTTGTCTACTGCTTAGACTCAAACGTCGCTCACACAAAAAGGACAATGGATGCCGGCAGAGATGGCCGAACGAAGAGGCAAGACCGTCGGTCCCACTAAAGGGTATAGTACGTCGCGTACGTTTGAATTGGTGCTTCCATGAAACAGACCGCGTTCACGCGGGTGTGCGCGCTTGCGCCTTCAAGAAAATTAGAAATAGGCTAAAATCAGCTTTAGTACTAGATGCGAGGGCTGATGTGAATGAGCAGACGGGTCTGGTTGTGAGACATGGTACGTCAAAAAAAACTGAGAAATCAAAACGAAGTCTGAAACCAGACGACTTCTGATCAAGTGTGAACGCGGCGGTTTTGTGGGCTGCAGCTCCGCCCTAACTAGTAATTGTTGTCTACTTTTCGCCACCAGCAATCTAAAAACGCAGACAGACGCATAAATCGAGTCTGGCGTTAAATGGTACGAAGTATGTTAGACTCATGACCTCGTGTAATCGCTCTATTTACTATTTTGAAATTGACTGCTGTTCACCCTCCCCTACATCGTCGTCAAACCGAGCTGGCTTAGAGCGTTATTCACCCGCAATATGAAACATTCTAGACGATCTGGGTCGAGACAGAGAGCTGATGAATGGAAATTGTCTCTTTCAAGAAAAGTGCAGGTAAGCGGTCGCGTTCGTCTTTCTGGACGTCGGCAATACAGTACTTTGTCCAAATGGAGGTTATCAATAGGTGACATCTGAGAAAAGAGTGGGTGAAGCAGACACCCGATTTAGCAATCACAGTTTTGGAAGACCATTTGGCGAGCATACGCGTACTTTCGCTAAATTCTGATCGGGCCCGAGCACACGTGTGCTCACCAAATGGTCTTCTGAAGTGCTCCAATGCAATTTTCGCAACTTTAAAGCAATCACAGTTTACTTGACAAGGTTAGATTATCACAAATTTACTCCTCTGATGGCAACTTCGTGACTTGCCCCTCTGCTTTTCGGGGAGGCATTTCGTGTAAAAGGACCCGAAGTCTAATAGGGTTAGTTGTTAAGACTGTAACCTCACTGGGGAATGCTTAGGACAGTGCCGAAGTAGATTTCAAATACGAGGGGCGTCAGCAGACTCATTTTTCAGATGACCTCCAAAGTGGCACGCATTAACGGCAGCAGCTTTTGTAGTTTTGATGAAAGACACTAATGGTTACCATGGCCTGATGCGATGGCGACTGATCATTTTGTGTGTTTATAGGACAATAAGCTCTGAAGTAAAATCCATCAAAAACGCCTCCCAGGGAATCTGACTCATGTTGGACTCTAGGATGACGCTTAATTGCTTACGCATTCACTAATACTAATAAACTGGCAGACTTGTGTTGCGTTATTGTTTTGAATGGAACGAAAAGAGTAAACACGAAGTCTGTATAGACCGCAGGGGTTAGCTGAACTATTGCTGGGTTGACGGCAAAAACCGAACTTCATAGATCACATGTTAGTTTCGAACGTCTGACCTTGGAAGTCCATAATGACGGATGGAAGCTGTGGTCATTCCAGGTTGCACAAACAAGTCACATGCCAGCTTTATAGACTTCACAAGGCGGTGGCTGGAAATACTAGTCGCCAATCGAATTTCCCTCTACATATGTAAGTCGATAAAGCAAGTATACACGAAGAGAGGACGCTGTTAAACGCCATTTCTGGGGAGAGTATGTGTTCAGCAACTCCAGGGTTGCCTAGTAAAAAATCATAATTCACAAATTACTGGCCCTGAACCCAAGAATCTGGCTGCATGGTCCGACGGAATGAGTGTGCGTAGCGACCCATCGACAAAAATGTACAATGACCCCCCAAACATTACGTCAAATCAGACTTCATTAGACTAGCCGAGTACCGCAACTTTAAGCGTGGGAATCGATGCTATGTGCGAAAATAATAAGTCTCATAAGGCACGAGATCAATTTTTAAAACACTGAGTTACGGGAACGTTGGCAAAGCACACTTTCTGAGCTACCGTTATTAGTCCAATAGTCCGTTTGTCTAAGAGTTCTGGAGACAGAGGTATGAAGTCATAGCGTGATGTACGCAAAGGCTTCCCAGGCAGCAATACCATTGCCAAAATATTTCCTTTGCTTGCTGTCGTTAACTGCTGAAAAAATGGACAAATCGCATTGTATGACTGGAGGGATGGTCATTTCGGTCCATTTAAGCGCTTTCTTTAACACTTCCATGGACTTTTGCTCCTCTGCGATGTGCTACCATCAAAATAAAAAGTAAACGTTTCCCTTAGATCTCAGTGGTTTTTATGTGACATCGCGAGATTCATGTGGTTTAGCTGCATGGATGTATGGTGTCGGATTTACATTACAGCCTGTTGTCGTGTGCTCTGAAGAGATGAAGAAGACGACCTATAGAGCAAGACGAGATTAGCTGACACTAATTGCTGCACCCCATCATGAATAGGTCATTAGCAGCTGGCATGATGGAGTAACCCGTGGTAGTTTGACATGTTGGAACGCGTGAGCACGGGTAACGAGGTCAACCCCCCACTACTAACCGACGAAAACGCACTCCACACTCACCGTTCTCAATCATTCAACAAATC